TTGAGCAATTCAAGAAATGTTCAGTTATTCTCTCTTTTCTCTTTTCTCTCTTTTCTGCATCAGCGTTGCGTCATTTGATAAACGGTGATGACTTTCAACAACCCTCAGTGACTTGCAAATTAGCAGAAGTTGTTGGAAGTGAAATGAAAATTGATCCCCGAGCTTTGCTCATCCTGCTACAAATTATCTGTAGAACAAAAAGAAAAAGAAACATCGATGTTCAACAAGGCTTCTCACAGATTACTCTGCGTTGATTTTTCTTCCATGTTGGAAGCCAAACAGGGGCCGCCATGTGCCGAACAATGATTGCTATGTGTGAACACACAAACAAAGGTAAACTGGTTTCACTACTTAATATTGTAGCCCCAATAGAAAAGTAATATCATCATGTTTACCTGTTACTGCGTATATAGTGACCATCTTTTTCGCAAGATGGTTGCCATTGGTTTCTGGTGCAGACAAACACACACTATGCAAGGCCTCTATAGACTGACATCAAGTAAGTTATTATGGCTTCAGTATACCAGATTAAACACGTCGACACTCTGACTCAATATTCTGGATTTCTTGACTATTAAATCATCCATCCAAGTCCTTTGCTGGGATTCGTTGCCCTTCTGTGATAAATGAATCTATTATATTCTTCAGGAGCGTCGCTGACGGTCCTAGGTGGTTTGAACAACTGCAGTGATTAATGGCAACATGAATTTTGCAGACACCCTCTACTGGCTTCAAATAGTAACTACTACCTCGTCGAAACATGCAAGTAATAACTCTCATTTTCTCTCTCTGCAAAAAACTCCCTTTTTTTTTTCTTTTGCTCACATCTCCTTTATCCAATACTGACCACCCAAATATGAGACTCTCCATGTTTCTCTCATTATCTTTGCATTACGGAACATTATTCTTCATCCTCCAAAATGAGGTCAATCGCACCAACATTTTACAACATGGCAAAGCCTCTCATCGTTTGAGAGTACAGTATCACGTTGATGAATGAAGTGATTTGCACATATGAAACAACTGTGTGGCCTTATAATGATTAAAAATGAATCATGAAAATGGGAAACAGAGTGGTTCAGGGCAGTGTTATTTATCTTAACACTCATTGCCAGTGTAAGTCTTCCCACGCAAGTACAATATCATCAATAATCAATACAGGGGATAGCCGTTCTCTCAGGAGTTGTATCCTCCTGTTTCCACAGGAACTGCAGAGCTTCCCATCTGCTTTTAGGGAGTTGTGTTGAGTATTACTGCAATTGACACCCTTCTGTTCTCAGGCAAAACTTTGTTTTGATGCACAATTGCGAAAGTTAAATTCAAACCGTGAATCCGTGAGAGGGAATTATATGAGCACATTCAATATCCCAGTCTTAGCTGGCTGCGACAAAACTCACATTTTACTTGGCAACATCTGCCTATTTCCTTATTGATTATCTTCACACCTTCTCATCAGTATAAATCATGAATACAATCCTTTTTGGCAACTGACTTCCCGCAGCACATGAATGCATTACACAGGCAGGCAGGCAGACTTTTCAAATCAATCGGTGCATTACAATACAAAAATAATAACTCCATCAAAACTAAAATTAGATGTAATGTTCTTTGTAATGGATTAAGTTGTCTGTCAAACTATGAAGAAATTAAACTGAACCAGTGATTGCCAACAAGGCAACAAAAACTCATTAAAAATGGTTGGCAGCCATCCCAAATACTCGTGTTTCAGTAAATCGACTAAAAGATGCAAAACGCCATAGTCTTTTAATCTTTGAAACAAAACTCAGGACTTGCCATAGATTTGAACAGTTTGGCTATGAATCTATCATTGCCAAAGTACCCTTTCAGACTCTAAGCCTATTATAGGCTCCTGAAAACGACTTTAAAAACAACCCACCTTCGAAAGGACGAACTTTGTTTTTTATAAGGTACTTCTAATGCAAATATTACATAACCTTCATTTGTCATATGAGTTTAGTCGGCAAGTGTTCACCATCAAAAATACCCTGGACAGGATGATCCCCTTTTATAAGTGTGCATCCCACTTCTTTATCATTTTTGTTTTGAGGCTTATTTTTTTTAAAGAAAACCAAAAAGTGGTTTTGACTTGCTAGGGGCTTACAGTACTTTTGAACCCCTTTTGCAGTTTTAGAGTGCTACCCTTTTTAAGTTTGTCCTGCACCTGGCTGACAGTCGCAGAGCATTAAACGCAGAGTAGATTCAGTGAAAGAAACATGACACATTGATGTGGAGAACTGGAGGACGGACCAACAAAAGATAAAATTACATGGGGAGAGTAATAATGGTAAAAATAGCTTTTGATTAAATAATGTAAGAGACTGAGAATCAGATAAATTATATATGGTCATAGCCTGAATTGCATTACATAATTGATGCACAGTCGTACATTATGTACCAACTGTCAACATGTGAAATGTGTTTGAAAAAATAATACAAGTGTGATTCCTAACCACTTAAGGGCAAAGGAAGGAGACGCCCATGGGGACAATGCTGGTGTCATGGCTGGACTCCCATGAATCATGTACGTATATCGCATTTCTTTACTTTTTTAATCTGAGGCCCGGTTTATTTGTCAGAGGAAGTGTTGAAATGCCTTGAAGTGATGAAAGATTGGATTGTCAGATGTCACGGCAAACGTTACAAAGGCCTCAAGACAACTACTAGAATACTGCAGAGAGCACAAGGGAGGTTTTGGTGGACTTTTTTGATTTTTCAAGGTCAAGGCATGAAGATTTGCTTTTAAGATTGAAGAAAAAATAACATCCATGAACCATTTAACACCATGTTGGCTGTGATTGCTTTTATGTATTAGCAACAGAGAGAAAAGAAGCAGAACTTAAACCAGAAGTATCACCAGTGTGCATTTGACTTCCAGGTAAGATGCCATGAGAGCAATTTACGGCTCTATTAACAATTATACTGTTTTTTATTTCACATGTTTCAGAAATGCACAGTGCAAGCAACTTTCCAGTTCTGGTGCAGGTGTGAAGGCTGGAGTGGTTGGAATAAACCAATGTGAGACCAATAGTGAGACAACCCTTCACAATAAAATGTCAAAAATGGAAAAATGCACTCATTATGAAAGAAATGATTGCAAAAAGATGAATTCACAGCATATTGCATGCATGGAGGCTAATACGGGTGACTGTTCAGGAGAAAATTGAGTTTCAACAGCAGCTGAGTTGAAAGCCACACAATTAGTTTACAAGTACAAACACTCATTTGATGAAGAACTCTTCAACAGCATTTGGTTTTTAATATTCTCAAGTTAAGATGTGTCGTGAAGAGCATGTCACCCATCTGTTTTGTTTTGTTGTTGTTTAAACGCCATTGATTGATTATTATTGACATGCTTTTTATTAAAACTATACGCCTGGATCTTGTTATGGTTGATTTCAAAACAGCTGCAAGACAATGTTTCAGAAAAGACACAGTGTGCATTCCAGAGCCTTGTGGAAATATTTTTTAAATTGTGACCACAAATGCTCTACCATCTTTTTAAATTTAAATTTTTTAATTTTTCTGAAGATGCATATTCCAGCACATGAAAAGTAGTTTGCTGAAGCAATAAGGTGACATCTCTGAACTGCTATTTTTTTGCTGCACAGTCCAAAGACATACATTTTGATATCATATAAGACAAAGAAAGGCAGCAAATCCAAACAACCGAGAAGCTGGAACCACAGAATGATTGCCAATATACTTGAGAATTAACTTAAACAATGAATTGAGCATTAAAACAGTTGCAGATTGAATTTCTGTCAATCGACTGATGGACTTATTGTATTAGCTATATGACATATATTCAACTGAGCAAATTCTAGTCACTAACAAAATATGGTTAAAAAAAAGAGTTCGAGTTGAGATTATTATGTTTAAATGAAATGGTTCCTACATTAGAACTTCTCTATGTGGTTATTTGTATTACTTGTGATGTTTTACTGGTTTGGTGGTATATATTTTTCCACATGCCACACATAACGATAAGTGCCCTGAGTCTACGTGTCAAAACATTGTTGGAGTCTCCATGAGTAATCAGAGGGCCATTCTGTCATGTCACCTGACAGACCAAGACAGAAAATAAAACTGAAAAGAATTCACAAACTACTGTTCAGGTTCATTGCACTTGATCAGTCAGAATACAGTAAGGTCTGGAGTGTTGTCAACCACGCTAATGTTTTGCAGTGTGTACGGAGGTAGTGCAGCCTGGAGGATCGTGCATAGGATGCCCACGAGGCTGTGTGGAGCTTTGAAAAGGTAGGCATTTTGGAGAGGGAGCAGATGGCCCACATTAAAAGCAGAGGGCCCTTGTGACTGTCTTCAATGGCCCTGCAGAGAACTGGATAATTAAATGAGAAATTTAATCAGATTCCTCAAATTAAATGTCCAGCTGGATAGTTCTGCAAGAAGACCACTGACTACACATTTACCTAAGGGAGTGTCACTGGTGGATGCATAATTCTCCAATCAGCACACACTCTTACATGATGATATTCCAGGTGATGATTACTGCTAAAGTATTCCATTCACAGTTCTGCCAGCAGGAGGCAAAGGGACATCAGTGTGTGGCCACAGGAGGGTCGTTTTAATAATGGGGCCTGGGAGGAAGCAACACAACAGTGAGATGACTGGATGGGGGTTGGAATCAGTGGGTTTAGCAGGGAGACTATTTCTCTCCCTTTGAACGAGGCTTCAATCCTCTGTAGATTCTGAAATGGCCTCGGCAGTTTTTCCATCATGTTTGATGCAACATGTTTGATGCAACATTTAAAAAAAAAAAACCCAAAAAACAAAGCAGCACAATCACGTCTGGGCTTCAGTGATTTGACTATCTGACACGAGCCACACTGATTTCTGGAGTCTTCCTTATCGTAGCAACATAGACAGAAACCAGACCCTGGGTTCGCTCCGACTCATTTTGCATTCAGCAAATCCAAGAACCGCCTCCCCTCCCTCCGCTGCTCCCCTCCCTCCGCTGCTCCCTCTCTCACGCAGCCTGTCCTGTAGATGGGACCAGCAGCCAGATATCCGTGCATGCCTGACCGCCAGTCCACTTCCTGGGTGGAAGAATGGGACGTTTCCAGCACAGCTTTTCTTCGCATTGTGCATTGCCCTTCGTCACGCTGACGCCACGGATAATCACTTAATAATGACCACGTGCAATCAATGATATTCGACCACTTTTTTTTTTTCCTCCGCTGTAGTTAAAGACAGCGATTGATCACCGATTGACCCTTCCGCACTACGGGAATGTCGCTATCTGGAAGCCCGCTACAGGCACGGTGGAGTCCAGCACATTTTGAACTGTTTTTGCACAGCCGTAGCGTACGTATCGTGTCATTCCTCGAAGCCGAAGACAACCTCCGCTCGGACTGGAGGCGAATAAATTTGTCGTTTTAAAAAAAAAACAACAACAGAAAAACAGTGACTCTGCCGAATCGCTGAGCATTACTTTGATGCTCTGCCTTCGTGGCTGCTGTGCCAACTTCGTCCCTGCTTCGGTCGTGTGTATGTGATTTTTTTTTTTTTTTTTTTTTTTTTTTTTAAAAGAAGAGAAAAAGACTCAAACTTTGTCACCCGTTGCCTTCTTGTTGCTCTCGATGAGCAGTCTAACATGCGGAGAATACGGGAACCGAGTTACTGGTGGATTTTATCCTTAATGTTTTTAACCTTGCCCAAACACAAAGACTGTCATCTTGGTAAGTACTTGCAACACGGGTGTTAGCTTTCATGCGTGTAGCCGAACTACTGAGAGTGCACAGTGTTGCATTTGTTTGTTTTTATAAAGAAGGCTAAAAGCGACTTTTCATTGTCGAATAAAGACATTTTTTTTTTCAGAGGCACCGTTTAGCCTGGGTTCCACTAACGGTTTAACGTTACAGGGCCGAGCCGAGTTTAACGTCCACCGGGTGTGTTAACGCCGAGACGTTCAGGCTCCGTGATTTGTGTGCATGTTATTGATCAGGCAGCTGGACAATGGCGCAAACTATCCCCTGCTTTAACGCCAGGCTAAACATTTAGTCCCCGCTAAACAACTCCTGGTTGACCCCGAGGCTTAACGTGCTGGCGACAACACTGGCTATTCATACAACATGGTGTCTCAAGAATGTATCTATCTCAGGAAATGTAACGACAGCTAATGTATCATTCCTGTCGGCACTTCAGATGCTTTGTGGAATTACATTGAGATAGTTTATCTCCTGTGGAATTAACAGTATTTCGTTATCTGTTAATCCTGCAGCTTTATTGTGGTTTTATAAGGAGTCCACAAGTTTTTTTTTATTTTTTATTATAGGCTTACTGTAGTTTTTGTCGTGGTTTATGTGGAGGTATAATTTATGTGTCTGCGGGCTGTCATGTGCGTAGGTAGAAATGAGGATGAGGGAGATAGTTAGCGCTGTTGGCTCGTGGGATGTATGTGCATGTATGAGGGGCGATTAATGCCATTGGCGCACAGATATAGTCCTGGAATATCGGCTTCAGGAGTGGTCTACCAGTTTGAGATGAATGGTGTTGCACACAAATGTGTGTGACCCATCAGATTCTGGGCCACTATAGATTGAACTATTAAAGATTAATGGGTCGGTTGGACGTTAACAGGCGAGGTTATGATTGGGTTGAGGGGATGACTTAAGCACGGGGACACACCAATACTGCTTTTCCAAGATTTTGCCAATGGCTCCAACATTTTTATTGTTTTGGTGCCTATATAGATATTTGAGAGTCTGGAAATCATCATAAAATAATGATAAATTGACTGATATAACATTATAAACAGATAATCATACCATTTCTGTTAAGAAACTATTATATTTGTTTATTAAATAATTGTGAAAAGGTAGATTATCTACTAAGCAAGTCATTTTACACCTAAAATGAATGTAGTGCACTCTTGTGGACAAACAATGTGATGTTACTACAATTTTCTTGGCATTTCTGCACCGCAAATGTCTTACTTGTTAGCAAACATTCACACTAACGGCGTTGTGATAAGCTAATATAGTCGGAGAGTAATTACCCAGTAGTTCATCAGTCTGCTTGTATTATTATACCATTAGAAGCATTTAAAGTAACTAAACAGTAGTCGCATCATTATAGCCACTGGAAGGACTTCTAGTTCATTGGATGTTTTTATTCTATGGCACAAATCATCTCCCATAGTGAAGCCACAGTGATGTAACACAGGAGAATGGTTCCTCTCTGAGTCACCCCACCTCCCCCCCAAATCCCCCAGTTCCCTGCATCCCCATTCTTAGTTTGCAGCTTTATTAACTAGCAGCCTTCCAGGCCCCAAACACGTCTTGAGTTTTTCCTCATATGGCATTGGTCTCAACGGACCTCTGAGACGCAGCGATATACAGGCTGACCGATGGACCATCTCCAAGGTGGTGGAGGATAAATCCAATTTTACTACTTGTACACTGTCTCGTAATGCTTTCATCTACCGACTAGGCAGGGTGACCTAAATCTCAATAATATGAATTTAGAGTTTACATCACAGAGGGTGTTACCAAACCGGTGCTCGATCACATGAAAAGAGAAGATTTGAAAGGGACGGGGGGGATTATTTTCTTTCTTAAATCAATGCACACCGGATTTAAAGACATAGCTGTCTATGAATTTGGCACGATTTTCACGACATCTTAGAGAATTTTTGTCTGCAGCGTGTATGTAGAGGAAAAAGATTATAAAATGATCAAACCTGTTTGGAAAAAGCAGTCTTCTCACTGACACAAATGTATCACATGTGTTTCCCACAACGTTTCCCTCCCTACAGTAACATGGAGCTATACAAATCTTTTAAGAGGGATATCAGCAGTTGTGGTTGGCGAAGACTCTACTTGTTTGTTTTTAAAGTTGTGTGGGTGGAATTGCAACTCCGTAGTCTTCGTAAGAGGCATAGCTTGTCATTAATTATAGAAATTCTCCTGATTGCATCACTTAAGTAATGAGGAAATGATTGCATGTTCTGTGAATACGCGAAACAGAAATGGATAAAGGCGCAAAGCCTTGTGGTACAGCTGTGGAATAATCTGTAGCATAGTGAATAACATTTTGTACAGATATAATGACTATTTCCACTTGTGTGTACTGTACACCACCACTGCACTGAATGTTAGTGAGCAAACCTGCTGTTAATGTTATTAATGATGTGCTGCGGTGCCAGCAGGATGCCAGCTGTCTGGACATCACCGACGTTAGCAACGGCATCATTATCATCAAGGTCCTCCTCCACGTCCTCTGGAGGATTGGTTGGATGTACGGTACTGACGTAATGTCTCCAAAGTAACTTTCTCCTGGTTTGTAGAATAGCATCAGCGACATATGCTCAGCGCACCGTTGTCTGTTGTCTCTCCACCAGCTGCCGGTGCCACCCTCTAAATGGTCCGATGGGGAAACACTGCGACTGTAATCACTTTTCACCCCTGCAGATAATTCGCTGTTTATCCTTTTTTTTTTTTTGCCAGCGATACTCATCTTTTGCTTATTGCTTTCAAATTTAATGAGCAGCTTATCAATGTGTCTAATTAGACTGGATCATCTTTGTATGCAATGCAATTTTGTTATTAAGGGAAGCTGTGACTTAGTGTGTTGTGTGGTGGCTGCCATCGCAGTGTTATTCTCTTCCAAACTGACCAGCGGTGGTTTCATTTCACCTGCCTGACGTTAGCCTGTGAAATGAGCTACATTGTTATTATTTCTTCTATAAATTATGGTTACTGATAACATAAAATCTGTTCGGTTTACGCTACAACACGCTTCTTTGAAAAATAGGATAATTATGTTAAATGAATGACATTTACGATAACCTCAAGGTAAATATAAAAACTGTATTTTTTTGGGGGGCAGATAAGACTGTCGGAAATATGAGACAAAGTTTTACAAACGAGAGCAGAATAATTTAAAGTTTGAAATGATTTCTTGTTCGTATTAGAGTGCGAGTGATTTATTTCAGGTTCAATGTTAATGTTGCAGAATGTCCTTGCTGATGGGAAATGCTGCTTGAAAAATTGGTCATAATTTCCAGCGTAAGTAAACATTTGCAACCTTGTAATAGTTTTAGAATTTATGATCCATTCAATCGCTTTATTAACACATGTTTCATATCAGCCTTTTGGCGGTGAGGCCACTCATTTGCAATATGTGGTCATGTATTCAGCTTTTTAAAAAGAGATACTTGCTCTGTATTCCCACACTACTAGATGTAACATTGCTGTGTGCTCCGACACCAAAGAGTCATCTTAAGCACTAAGAAATTAAATCAATAGGCCGGTCTATATTCATATTTACGCAACATGAAATGCTACTATGAAATGATGAAAGTGCAGCATGTTGGCAGTTAGTTGTGATGCTCCTTTTTAAAGGTGCCCTGTAGAGGTCTCTTGTAAACAAATAAGTTCTATTTACAGTCAGTGTTGTTCATGGAAAGGCGTTGTGGTTATTCTCGAGGTCTAACCAATCCGTTGAATGTGTGAGTTATTTGCCGAGCAGATTAAAAAAAATATATATATTTAAAATCCCACACTGGATACATCTGGATTCTAGCGATCCGTCTTCGTCTTCGCTGCTGGCAGGATGTGTTCTCACGTCACCAGCACGAGGATGCACCCGCCAAAAACCAAACCGGGGGCCCCCTCCTAAAAACATTGGTTCATAGCGCTACGAGTTGTTCAAAAGTCAACAGGTTACATTTAAGAAATCTGCTGGATGAGAAGAGTTTCATTGATCCCCTGCAAGGTGCATGTACGATACAGAATAAGTAAATATACTCTACCACATATACCTTGTTTCTCACTGCTATTTAGTTTATGTTATTGTAATTGAATTAGAAGAGAATTGATACCTAGCGTACCGTTTCCAGGAGCCGAAACGTAGCCGAAGCAACCGGCGGCGATTACTGGCGAGCTGGTCCTGCCCGGAGATGTCTGGCATCAGTACTGACGTGGACTGTTTCAGTTGATATGAGCCCAACATTACGAGAACAATGCTTTTTATTCAAAGGGTAATTATAATAATTTGACGTTTATTGTGATTAAGCTGTTTATTTGTATAACTTATGTTAATCAAGGCAATCAGTCATCACTTCATTACTTGGTGTGTACGGTTGAGTTCACTCCGTCTTCAGCCAAGATACTCCAAGCCGGTCACAGTAGCGTTTTAATCATTTAGAATGACTCGCAGCCACTTCACACCAAATCATTTCATCTGTCCTAGCAACATGCAACCAACAAGGGACGGACACACGCACACGCACGCACACGCACGCACACGCACGGACCAGATTAGACCAGGCTGGTTGAATCTAGGGAGGATAAATGCTTTTGGGGAAGAGAGTGCACTTATTTCCTGTGCTTCAGGACGATAGTGATTAATGTCCAGGCAATAAGGCGATGTCACTGAAGGATGTGTACTGCTGCACTCAAGGACTTCGCCATATCAATAAATGTCCCGTGTCCTTCAGTCGCCTTGTCCTCTTTCCCCTTTACAGTCTTGCCGCGGTGCGATACTGTGTCAGCTTTACTTACAGCTGGACTGTCAGTCAACTCTGCCCTGTGGATGCTGGACACAATGGGCCCCTCAGGCTTCACCCCCCCCCCCCCCCCCTTTCCTGCATTGTGCTATTGTGGGTGAAATGAGCATGTTTGCTTTGTGCTCTCAAGATTGTCTTTGTTTTTCAGAGGCGAGGAAAGGCAAATTC